AAAAGAACACTCATCATGTCTTCCTGGAAACCAGTGGTAACCAAGCTGAGTAGATAACCATGTCTCTTGGTGAATTGAGAATTTTCGGGAACCTTTGAGACTAATTCCTCGAGCTTGGAAGGTATCCTTACGAAGTTGATCCAGATAGTATTCCTACGACTGGAAGCCATGAACTTGCAACACATAACAAAGATAAACCCCCTAGATCCTTGAAATGGTTAGTCATGATGTTATGATGTTATGATGTCATGATATCCTGTTAAAATAGATAATCAAACACAAGAAAAGCACGCAAAGGCCTTAGGTTTAAGGCTTGCATGGGGTTTGTAGGTAAGTACCCTCTTGAAGTTTAGTTGGCTCAACCTGTCCTAAAGAAGTAATCGGGTTCTAGAGATCTTAATACCACTAATTTTTCCCACAAATTTTGTCTATCACGGCAACTGACTCTCCACCAAACAAAACCCGAGAGTCGAATCTCAATGAGTGTAGTATTGAGTATCAACCAACTTCGGACTGCACTAAAGCTGGCTATCTCACTACTTTCTAATGGCTAAATTGAGTCAACTAAAGTTCGACGGTCAGTTAGTGCTTATGACACCACGCAACAGCCTAGTATTCTCCCCGACTGACTTGAGGGACACCAGTACAAACCAATGTGTCGCACTAACGTAGCCATCACTTCGACCATATCGGTATACGTCGTATAGTTTCCATGATCTATTGCTCCTTACCTAAAATTCCCCCAGATCCGGGTATAGGATCTTTGCAAGAAATAAACCCAAACAAACATTTAAAAATAAAGCAGACAAATAAAACAAGGAAAGCATTTAAAAGTGATCTAACTCTAAGGTAACCCCACTTTTTTAGTTATTCCCCAGCAGAGTCGCCAGTTCTGTAATACAATGGGAGAACTGACTTGGCTTTTGTGTTTTATCGCAAATGTTATGGATATCAAGAGTCGGCACCAACTTTTATTTTATCCAATAAGGAAAGGGTGAAAATAACAGGAAAGACCTTTGAGAATTTTCTGAGTTCGGGGGGTAGGTTATGAAAAGGGGAGGTGTTAGCACCCTTTTCATCCGTAGTTATCTACAGGCTCTTAATCGCTAGCTCACTTTGTTTAAAATGCTTTATATGTATGTGTTTGAAAATATTTTGAAAAATGCTTAAGTACGACAACTTTGTAATGATTCTTGTATCAATTAAGAATGCGTACAAATCGTTTGTTTTTGAAAATATTTCAGAAGAAGTGTTTGTGAAAAATATATTTGTTTTGTTTTTGTGTGAGGAAGCGATTAATAGTATTCTACCCTTACTCAAAAGTCTATCGTGCTATTTTCCTCCTCCTTTAGACAGTGATATCCTACCATTAGTTAGTAGGAAGCCCTATCGTTGGATGTGAAGGGACATGCGTAGGTTCATCATTATGGTCATAGAAGGAAACTTGTAGGGATACCTTAACAGTTCGGAGGGACTTTCATCATATATTTGTAGGCAACATCAAGGGACAAGATCATTTCTCGTAGGAAACTCGAGGGGAATCGTGGGACTATGATCTTTATGATGATTTTAATAGAGGGTCTTTGCTAAGGATATCCCTACGCTCGAAGGACATGACCATGTTTCCGAAGGCAACAAGTGAGGTCACCCTAGAGGTGCGCGTGTGAAAAGTGATTCAGTTCAGTTATTTGTCTTGTATTTAGGGTTATCTAACGGTTAGTTTTAGATCTTGTCATACATGCCTAGTTACTATACATTTATATATACATACAAGCATACATAGTATAGGTGCGGAAAGTAAAGTGAGAGAAATAAAAATCCTATGCTATTACAAGGCTTCGAGAGCGGGGGTACAAACCATTAAATTGGGGGAAAGAGAGTAAACCCTAATTTAAACTATTACAAACCGTAGCAGATACATAATTGGGAAAAAAACTAATGCGAAAGTAATAAAGCGTGCAGAGCGGTAAAAGGAGAAAATCATATGATGAAAAAGTTTAGATAATCAACCTAAACTCCAATAAATTTTTATTGATAAAAATAATAATTGATTAATTAAGCAAAACCCTAAATTCTAGTTTGATTTTAAATTAATTGAGAAAACCTAAAAAATCAAATTAGGGTTGATTAAATAAAAAAAATTAAATTGATTAAACTAAAAAACCTAAAATTAAATTGACCTAGAATTAAATTATTTGCGTTTATTGAAAGAAAAAAGGTTTTATCTTAGGGTTTATTAAAAAAATATTGTTTAAAGAAAAGGTTTTGTAAAAGATTAAAGGAAAAAAGAGTGAGAAATAGAAAATAACCAAAAGAGTAGGGGTGGGTGTTGAACCCACACCCTTAAACATTCTCCACGCATAGCATACCACCATACCAAGTGCTAGTTGGTGTCAAAACAACAGATTCAACGCATTATATGACAACCCTGCAAAAAATATAAAAATATGAGAGGTTTGGCAAAACCGGGGATCGAACCCGTGACCTAGGAGAGAAGTGACTTAGCGTGCGCGTTTCTGCTATTGGGGTGGCCATACATCCATTAACCTATGTCAATTAATAAATATATAATATATAAAAAATTCCAAAAGTCAGACAACACCAAAACGCGCACCTGAGTGGGGCCCTTGTATTTTGAATGGGCCAATTGGGAGACTCCATTGTGCCATGCCTTTTCAACCACCAGTCAAACCACCCTGGACGGTGGTTCCGGTCACCTTCTCTGATTGTACCAAAATCCAAACCTGCAAAATTCAATCAAAATGAAAAAATAAATAAACCCTAATTGACTAATTAAGGTCCTGTGATTTCAATGGCATGGTCAGCTTGATCTAAAAACGAGCACATCATGAGATTTGAAGCTTTGTGTCCTAACAATGGCACGCTTCTATTTCTGCACCAAACCTTGCAAGCAATACGTCAAAATAATTCCAAACTTTAATATGAACATGAATGTTAGCATCAAATTCATTTAAATCATGTGAGTTGAGAGTTTGAATTCAAGAAATACTACCTAATCGGTGCAACCTTGATGGCATGTTCTGTGATGCTTCAAGCTTCAAGAATGGTTGAAATGGAGCCCTGAGACCTTCAGGGGACTAATGGAAGGCTCAATACTGATTGAAACTCGCTGGAGAATAAGGTTTGTCTTTGCCCTAATCTTTGGAAGTTTGAGAATTTTTCTAGAGTTTTTTGAGGCAGCTTTTACGTGTCTTTTGCATCTAATGTTGTTAGGTATATATAGGACATGAGATTAGGTTAACAAAAGTGGGAGGAATAATGCATGATTATGAGAAAAAGATTTGATTTGGAATTATATGAAACTTGCTATTTTTGGATCAATCTTGCACCAATTAACCTTGCTGAATTTGACAGCTTGCACATGTAATATTTGGCCTCCAACATGACTGGAATCAAAAGCCTTGTGCCTTCCATTACTTTTATATTTTATTTGATTTATTTTGAGTTTAATTGAATAAAAATAAAAAGAAATAAAATATATAAAAAAGATAATGCATGAATGGATTTATGGGTCCTTAAACATGTCATGAACACGTTTGGATCTGAAAACTTAGGCCCAATAGCCCAAAATTACAAATTTGCTTAATTTGGACTTCATGCATTTGCTCAAAATTTCCCAACTTACAATGGCCATAACTCTCTCAATTTTTATCTTTTAAAGGTGATCTTTGACTTTTTCGAAAGCCCAAGATGTTCTCTACAATCTCTATGTTGATCATTTTTGCTTTTGAATACATTATATAGATGTAAGTTGCTTTGAAAAAAAGTGTCTTTTTTGTTGACTTTTGAAATGACCTATAATGTATTGGCTTATATCTCTCAAATGATGCATTTTTTGGACTTGAGCTTAGAGAGACAAAATTGTAGAGAATTAAATTTCCTTCAAAATGAGCTTTGGTTAGTGAAAAGTTGATGAAGCATGTGAAAGTTATGCTTGGCCAAAGTTCAGTTGACTTCTTATAAGGAAACCCTAATTTGGCAACCTTTGAATTTTGATGATTTGAGGGCTTTTCTTGAAGAATCATGATCAACCCTTGATTAAATGATGAACATGGCTTCAAAAAATTTATGTTGACCAAAAATCTTGAAGTTTGACTGTATGTTGACCATAGTTGACTTTTTACCCAATACAGTTCATTTGCAGTCATCTGAGCCATTGACTGAGCAAACTTGTGATACAAGGCTTGAAACTTGAAATGAGAATTATTAGGGACATATTAAGAACCATGAAAACCACTTGAGACCTTTGAAACTCAAATTTCCTCATGAAAGATGAAACCTTAATTGTGGACCCATTACTTAGGAGGAGAATTTATCTGGTCAATTCTTGAGCAAACTTGAACAAATGAGGACTTTAGGAGAATGTATTGAAGAAAATGGGAGGGAAAATTTTAGGGTACAACATGAGTTTATTGCAAAATCATAGTTCATTTTTCATTTGAAATAATTTCATTCATGTTCAGGGTCACATATTCATTCAAGTTTCTAAATAAGAGCTAAGATCGGTTCATATGATTTTCTTATCAAAGTTTCAAATAGGAACCATAATTATTCAAGGTTCATTTCAAATTCAAGAGACATTTCAAATTCAAGTGACATTTCAAATTTCATTCATTTTGATCCAAGGTTCTGTACAAAAGAAATTTCAAGATTCATCAGAGATTTACACAATATTCATCCAAATATCATTCATTACAAGAGAAAACTTTACAAACCATACATAAACTCCTAGTCCTAATCTTAAACTTTCATCTTTCAAAACCTAAATCTCACATTAAGTTTCCATTCCAATATTACAAGACATTTCAAAACCTTTGCCTAAGCTTCATGGTACACCAAAATTCATTTTGATATGCCTTGTATATAACCTATCCATAAGCTCTTGTTTACATAATCAAAACTTGTTTCAAAACTTACTCAAAATTATGTCTAAACTTCGCATCAAAATATTCCAAATCGCTTGCTAATAAATAAAACCCATGCTTTATTTCATTCGTACAAAGTTTGTCCAAAATACCTTGCTAATGCACCTATGCCAGTCCATAAAACCTATTATAAACCTGTTGTGCTTGATATCCAAAAACATGTACAAAACAAAACAAAATAACCATGTAATATACCGAACATATCAGTCCAAAATTTGTGCCAAAAACCTGTCAAAACAGTCCTGCTGCCCTATTACTATGTTGTTGTCCAAAATTGTCAAACCTGCCATTACTGCCACATACAGCCAAAACCAATCCAAATGCCCAACTTTCTAAATAGTCCTATGCTTCCTAAATAAAACCATCCTTGTATCATATTGTCCAACCTACAAAATAGTCCAAAAACATGTCTAAACAGTCTGCCCTGTATCAAACAAAACCTGAAACCAAATACCAAACATAAAAGTCCAAACCTGTTCCTAAAATAGCTAAAAAAACTGCATCAAGAAAGCATAAGAAAATATACCAAAACAATTCAAATCCTATCTTGTTTTTCCCTTCAAAACCTCATTTTCATTCACTATAAAAACAGATAGAGTAACACAGGATAAAGGGTATACATAATCCATATAAAAAACTACACTATACTCTCTTTGCAATAGGCAAAACACAGAACACAAAGAGTAGAGGAAACCAGAGAAGAGCAGAAGCATAGTAGAAGGGAAGTTACCAGGGAATATCTTAACCTCTGAGAACATTAGGAGTCGGTATTCTTTCTGAACTCCCCAACCATACTTGCTTTGATATGCTTATTCGTGCTTTATTTTGTGAATTACCTTCGCCAAAGATTGTTGTTCAATTTTGTTAAAACCGTTTGTTGCTTGGAGTGTGTTTTCATTTGTTTTATTCTTGCTAAACCTGGAAAAGATTAAAAAAAAACAAGGTGAGTTGAGTAAAAAATGAAGGAGAAGTCAGTAAAGAAATCACCTTGAAAACCTCCCATGATTTTGCTCAGAAAACACACAAAAATATCAATAATTATCAAACTAAAAGCTTTGTCAAATTTCCTCATAAATACTCACTTCACACATAAAATACAAACCTCATAACCTTTACCCTTCAATCATAAAACACTCCTTCACATATACTTCAACACCAAAACCGTGACCTTCAAAATATCCCCACTCCCTCCTCAACACTGAACCTTTTTTCAATAACCTCCATACCATCCGATCCTCCTTTTGCCTTCCCATTACACTGCCCTAACACATAAACCTTACACTCAACTCCATATACCAACCAAGAACTGGCCAACAATAGACACAAAAGCTCACAGACTGCATTCTTTAAATTTGTAATCTCCATCAATCTTCCACAACTCTCAAATTCCTCCCTCTGCCTCATAACTACTTTTCAAAACCTCAAAGCTCTACAGCCCTCCTTAAGACCTGTCGTAAGCCTTCACCACCTCTGCTAAATAAACCTTAGCCATACTACAACACACTACTGACTTTAACTCTCCCCTTAACCAAAACCTCTATCAATTTGTAAACAATCATCCTTTGCATTCCACAAGTGAAACCATCATGTCCCAACTTTTGAACCACTCCAGAGTTTCCAGATGAAACCCTGTGAAATCGCGGTTTCCATTTCAAGTAGCCATAAAAGATCATAAATCCAATATCATTCCTGGCTCAGACCCATAACGCTACTCCCGCCGCAATAAACAGAACTTTTAATTTAGATCAGCAATGCATATAATAAGCAGCAGCTCGAATAAGGAAAAAATATTCAAAAATGCATACCTCTTTTCCTATGGTTTTATCATCGGATTCATAACTAATGTCGCGATGGACGAACTTTGATAGGTATATCTCTGATCTCTTCTATCATTCTTGCATTTTTATACATTATGAAGCATGAAAATCCAAGCTATACGAGTTTGTGGCATGTGTGTTGTTGTTCGAAAATCCGCAAAGATGCGAGGAGGACAGGGTGCAAACATATGCAGTGGTGTGTCTTAATTCAGTCATGGCGCAAAGTTGAAGTTTGTCGACGAAGAAGAAGGTGAGTCAAAGAAGCCGACATAAAGGTAAGTGAGGGTATGAGAATCTGAATCGAGGGAGAGGATAATAGAGGTGTGAGAGCATGACGAGAGATTGTTGTTGTTATTTAGCAGATGAGAGATTTTTGGGATAAGAGGCGCTATAATAGGGTTTTCATTAACCCATTGTTTTTTTAGATGAGCTGGGTCCGGACCCCATTGACCCGATCCAGCCCAACAGTTTTTATTTTATTTTGTTAATTTTCTTTTTATTTGTAGCATATGGGCTCATAGCCCATCCGAATTTTCTTCAACCCTAGCCCTGTCCGATTTTCTTATAGCTTAAGCCTAGTGTTTTTGTTTCTCAGACCCCCATGCTTTACTATATTCAAGCCCATTTCACGTTATTTCTTTTAATCGTTATATTTTATTTTTCTTTCATGATTTTATTTTCTTTTCGTATATAAAAAATGCAAAAAATATATAATTTAGGATTAGGTTTAATTATTTTCTTTACTAAAAAAAAATATTAGAATAAATTAGTATTAGAAATTTTAATTTTTTTTATATTGGAATTTCTCTACTTGACAATCATAAATAATTTAGAATTTAGTTTTTTATTTCCTTTGATCTTATTATTTCTTTACTTGAAAATATTGTAAAAAATATTGATAGTATTTTATTTGTTTTTTTATTTGATTGTTTGCTTGATTTCCATGTTTCCTTAAGAGATTCCACGAAGCGATTAATTTCATTTTTGATTATTTTGTGTTGAGTTAGACTTTAAGATCAACTTATGCATGATAACTTTAAGTTAGATTCTCCTTTTCATCTTAACATTAGGTCCATTTATTACATGACAACATTATGATAGACTTTCCCCTTAGACTTTTCTTTTTACATTTACATTAAAATAAAAACATTTTTCTCTAATCAAAAAACCAAAAAACACTTAATCATTATTCAAACTCATTCCACACTTAACAAAAACACTCAACAAATCAAATATTTCTTCAAAAGGGCATGTTATCTCTGTTCTACCGCGATACAGGCTGTGCCTATTGCTAGAATGTGTGTGCTAACGTCGTCCACTAAAAAACACCAATAAACTAACATTTTCTAGAAGAACTACGGTGTTCTGATTCCTTCTCGGGATACATAGGCAAAGGGTTGCGAGACCCTCATGAACGCACTAATAAAAATCATTTCATTTCCCTTAGCAAGTATAGTTTTAGATAGACGCATCCTTAGAAACAAACAATCTAAATGGATCCCATTGAGTACAACAGATGTGAGGGGTGCTAATACCTTCCCCTTGCATAATCGACTTCCATACCCTCTATTTTGGTCGTAAGAACATCTTATCCATCCTCTTGGGGTTTTCTCAATATTTCCCCTTCCTTCGAGATAAATAAAGTTCGGTGGCGGCTATGTGTTCTTTTGCCGGTTGCTTCAGTTGGCGACTCAGTTGGGGACCCTGTGCGAGTCTATCCTAGTTTGGTTTGTTTGCTTCTTTGGGTGTTTATTTATTTACTTTATTTGCTTTACCTCTTTATTTCTTTATTGCTTTATTTCTTTCTTTTGTATATATTGTATTGTACTTTTTCTACTCATCTATTTTGGATATGTTGTATCTTTTATGATGTTGGGGTGGGTGATTTCATTTTCCAAGTCCTATACCTAAACTAAGTTACACTTAAGATTAGGATGGGCGGTATAGTCATGTTAACTTTGAGGGAGTAATCCCGAAGAAGGAGAAATGCAATCCCCCACTCAATGGAGGTTCCCTTGAATGTAGCATTATTTACCAAGTAATTGGGAAGACATGCTGCTTTCAACCTGGGAGCCAGAGAAGCTGAGAGTCGTATAACCCTTAACCCATCCTGGCCTTTTTAGGTGTAGTGCGAAGACTATGATGAAGTAATTCGGAAGTAGTTGTCATGTGATACTACACTTAGACGAGCTTTTCCTACGAATATTACTAATTACCGAGTGATTGGGACGTTGGTAATATCCAAAGGGAGAGCGTAGACTCTAGGATTTCCCTATAACCTTGTTTGGTAAGTGATAAACCCTTAGTACATACCTTATGGGTGGTTACCTTGACTCCATGCTCGTGATGTCGGACCTTTGATCCTGTTACTTTCAGTTTATGCAAAGGACTATAAAGTGGTTATCCAGAATATGTGGAGCTGAAATCCCATGCCATAGCATACCATGACATCGTACTATCATGTATATGCATCTCATGTCTAAGGAATTCCAAAGACAAGTCTTGTTGGTTGAGCCCTTCAAAAATAAAAATTGTTAAAAGACACTTATGGGTAGACGAGTCTTTGGATTTCCTCAGAAATGAAGATGAAACATGCATTCATATTATCATGCATTCATTATTCACAAAAAAATCTTAGTGGGGTCCCTTTTCATATTGACTTCAGTGAACAACAAAGACAAGTCCCCTACATCCCTACCGTACAAGAAGCAACCAGCGGAGACTTATGGATCTCTTCGAAGAAAATCAGAATGCTCTCCGCCGAGATATGGACACCATGGGCACCCGAATGGATCATCTTATGGAAATCCTTCATGTTTTCATAAAGGGTCAAGAAGAGCTCCATCAAAGTGTTTCCAAGCTTGCCACTACTGCCCCTCCACTTCTGTAAATGGAGGGAATAATAATGTGAATGTTGATACCCCTACGGGAATTCCTCAGAATGATATTGATGATAATCACGACATTATTAATCTTGATGAACCCCATGCGAATCTCGATGCTGGAGTTGTTGAAACTGCAAAGATCTATCATGCTCTTGAAGAGCGTCTCAAAGCTATGAGAGGTATTAAGACTTCGGGATTCAATACTGCTGCAATGTGCCTCGTGCCTGGGGTAGTTATTCCTCCCAAGTTTAAAGTTCCTAATTTTGAAAAATATAAAGGAACCTCCTGCCCAGAGACTCATCTTCGCTCCTACTGTCGCAATATGGCAGCTTGTGCTGAAAATGAACCATTGCTCATGCATTTATTCCAAGATAGCCTGACAAGGGCACCGTTGGACTGGTATATGCAATTAGAGAGAACTCTTGTCAGTACTTGGGGAGAGCTTGATGACGCCTTTTTGAGACATTACCATTATAATACTTCTATGGCTCATAGCCGCACTCAACTTTAAGGGATGGCACATAAATCCGAAGATTCTTTTAAAGAGTACGCCCAAAGGTGGTGTGAACTGGCTTCAAGGCTCCAACCTCCTCTCTTGGATCGTGAACTGATTAATTTGTTCATGGGTACTCTACGAGGTCTTTATCTCAAACACGTGCTCAGTAGTACATCTACTTCTTTCTCTGATATGGTTATTATTGGAGAACATGTTGAAACTTGTATCAAGGCTGGAACAATCTAAGATATCCCTAACACTACTATAATACAATGGGAGAACTGACTTAGGTGTTTTTCATTTTATTACAATTGTTGCGGATAGCAAGAGTCGCCACCAACTTTTCTTTTATCCAATAAAGGAAAGGGTGAAAAGAATAGGAAAGACCTTTTGAGAATTTTCTTGAGTTTGTGGGGTAGGTTATGAAAAGGAAAGGTGTTAGCACCCTTTTCATCCGTAGTTATCTACGGGGTCTTATTTGCTAGCTCACTTTGAAATGCTTTAAAAAAATGTGTTTGTGTTTGTTTTGAAAGTGTTTTTGAAAAGTGTCTTTGCTTAGGTGAACTTTGTAATGATTCTCATCTCTATAAGAATGTATACAAAGTGTTGACTTTTGAAAATATTTCATGAAAGTGTTGGTGTATTTGAAAGTTGTTTTGAAATGTTGTGAGCAAGCAACTACGAGCGTTCTACCTACTCAAAAAGTCTTTGTTATTTTCCTCCTCCTTTAGATATTTCTATCTCACCATTGATTGGTAAGAAGCCCTGTCATTGGATGTGAAGGGACGGGTGTGGGTCATCGTACAGTCATAGAAGGCAACGTTGCAGGATACCTTAGCAATTTCTCGTAAGGGTCTAAGATTGTTTTTTGAAGGCAATGTCAAAGGATCATCGAGGGACTACGATCTTGTAATTGAGGGTCTTTGCTAAAGTATCCCACGTTCGAGGGACATGATCGGTTTTTATTCTAAGGCGACAAGTGTGGGTTAACCCTAGAGGTGCAAGTGTGCAAAGTATTTTGTTTTAATTTATTTGTCTTGAGTTAGGGTTATCTACTTGTTGATTTTATGTCTTGCCATACAAATCCCTAATTACTAGCAATAATATGGAAAGTGATAAATTGCGGAAATTAAAAGTTCTACGCTATTACATCATTTTAAGGGATGGAGATACAAATTATAAATGGGGATGAAAGCAATTAAAACC